CTTTGACATTCCTGTTTAAAATCGCCGCTTAATCACTTCTGTCAAAACTTTTACAGATTCTTTCTTTCCCTTAGGGTGTCCTTTCAAGTCTTACAATAAAGAATAAGTTCTCAACAAACCGGCACATTATCTCTTTCCGTTCTCTCGTTTCGGAGCTGTCCCAACTTCAGCAGCTTTAATGGCTGCCTCTTTGCCGCTGGCAAAAAGAGCTTCTCCTGGATCTACCAGGGACTTTGTGATATCCCTGGGATCGACAGGATGCGCTCTTTACATTCACCGTCTCTTCGGGACGGTTTAGATCCGTTTGGACCATCCAGGAGCAAAGATATCGGCTGCGAGCTCAGATCTCCAAGATCGCATGCCGTATCGTCGCGACGCCAGCTCCGCCCCTGGGAAACAATTTTCTGAGAGGTGGACCAATACAAATGCCAAGTAATTGTGCTTGTCATAGTAATTCTACCAAAACCTTCCCTAAATATGATCAGTCATACTGTTTAGCTCCTGAAACAACCTAAGGAAGTTTTATTTATAGGGAACTAATAATTATTCTACAGTTTGATAGTACTTTATATTAGTACATGATTGTCTCTAAGTAATCCTCACCTTACAGCCATTCATTTAATGACCATTCAAAGTTACAGTAGTGCTGAAGAAAGTGACTTACGACTAGTCCTCACACTTGTGACCATGCTATTGTCACCATAGTCGAGTAATCAAAATGCTTCAACTGTGCATTAAGCAGTAACAAGACTGCCTTAATATTTGAATTCTGTAGGTCGAACTTCCCATTAATCTCTGCAACTGGTATAAGTCAACAAGGTCGGAGGCAAAAATAAGGATGGGTGTGGCAGAAACCAGTGGTAGAGGACAAAATGAGTACAGTATTGCCACATGTTCAACTTTCTGATCAGTATTATAAGAGGTAAAGCAGCTACAGAAGCAGCCAGTTGAGCTGTTGGCATCTATGGGGCTGGGGGAAATTGATCATTAAAGAATAGCCTTACTCTACTACAGACAGAAATTCCTTGGCAAGGTGTAAGAGGCATTAGCTTGAGATTCCTGTGAATGATGCCTTTTAGTGGAAAAAAATGGGTTAAACAGTCTTTTTTTTAATAAAGTTTTTTTATTTTTTATTTTAATTTTACACATCTCTTCACGTGAGCAACATGATTCTGGATTATAACACTTGTACATAGTCATACTTTCGTTTCCATTAATCTTATATAATATCATTTCATATCATTATCCATTTCACTCATCTTTAAATAAATTTGCATTTCATATTTCAATTCATTAATTCAATATCAATATCATTTCATCCACACGTAGGTTTCAATTCTTTATTCCCTATTATTTCCATTTTCAACTTACTCAGCTTATTTTACATTACACATCATTATTATCCTTAATTTTCTCTAAGCCGATATATAATAAATAATCTAAAAAGAGTAAAAGTAAAATAAAGTCAATATATTTAGGATCCACATGGTATTTTTCATTCCCCTTTAATCATAATAAAATACTTTCATTGTACACTTCTAATATTTTAAAATGTATGTATTTTAAAGTATCCCCCCCGGAAATCGCTAAAATAACTTCTTAATATGTCTCATTTTATCTTCACTTTACTTATAATCATTAATAATTATATTTTTTCTTCCTTTCCACTTTGCCAAAGTTTATCGATATATTTTAATACATTTCCATTCACCTATTTTTAATCCTCCAAAGAAAGAGTTCATAACAGCATAATTCATATACAATTTGTATTCATATATATATAGTTATACAATCCTAAAATATTTTCCAGCAAGTTTTAGACTAAATACCAATATACATTCCCATGTGCTATCCCCCTTATAGAATCCCTAACCCTTATCTCTAAATTTTTCAGTTTTGTTATTTCTTTTAATTTCAGCCAGCTTTCCCTTTTCTAAGTTTCCCCAGTCTTTCTTCTTTTTTCCTTCTGGTATTATTTTTATTCCTTTTTCCTGTCAGCCATGTTTTCCCCCACCCTTTTCAGTTCTCTTTTTTGGGGGTTTCTTCTTATATAATTCCTTCTTCTTCTGCTTAGTCTTGGGAGCATTATCTCTTTTATTTGTTGTCTCTGTTGTCAATGTCTCTATTTTAAGTCCTTTTATGTCCTTTGGCAATGGTCCTTGTTCTCCATATTCATCTAGGCTGTTGTTTTCCTCCTTTAACTCGTCCTCTCTGAACTTTCCTTGTTCTTCTGCAAGCTGGAACGCCATTACTTTACTAATCATTGTGTCCAGCAATTTCATTCTTTCTTTTAACATATCTCTCACAGTTTGCAGCTCCGACTTAAATTCTTTACTTATTTCTTCCATTTCTTTATTAAAGATCAAAATTTTCTAATATAGTCCTTGCCAAAAGTTTCCATTTCTCTCACTTTCTCTTTCTTCTGTTTTCTTGTCACAGTTAACCTCCAGCAGTCCCAAAATATTATATTCCTTTATATTTTATCATCGTCCCCTCTTTGAAAAAAAAACTTCCGGGGTTTTTGTTGTATTAATAATCTTTTATTCCATTTCTTCTCTCTTTCAAATATTTATGCGACCAGTAATTTTCCATAAAAACATAAGAGGAAAATCTTTAACCGTTAGGTGGTGCTCTATATCACTTTCTGTTCAAAGTTTTTTTTTAATTCTCTTTTCCGTAGTATTAACGTTAAATTTTATCCATTCCAAATAAGTCCAGCATTTTATCCAATTCCTAATTAATGTCCAATTCTGTATATTAGTTCAAATTTAATCTCTGATTTCATATAATTCTTTTATTTCCAGTTTTTCCTTTACCTTATATTTTCCTCTTATTCTCTGTTTGCCGCTATCATTTTTCCAAGCAAGGACTCTTTCTTTCCGCTTTTCGTTTTTGTTTTTTTTAAATATTCAAAGTCTTTTATTCAGCTACACGCCGCTCACCACTTCCACTCTCCAGCAGAAACCTAGGTCCCGTCTTCCCATCTTCAGGGCAGCCATTAAACTTCTGCTTCTCCCTGTCTTCTAGGGGAGTAAGTACCAAGCCAGGGAGGGGAGATGTGGCTCCCCTCAACCGAGCTGGTGGTCTCCCCCTCTTCCCCCACCCCTACAAGGTGGGTCAGATGGTTCCAGTCCCTCAGGGACCCCTCCAACAGGGCAAGCACGGATCAAAGCCATGCACGATCGTCCGTCTTCAACGGAAACACCACCGGAAGTCAGGTTAAACAGTCTTAAATAGATACGTATATGACTTCCTATATGGTCTATGTGATACATCACATCATATATATCTGTTTCATAGGATCTAATATTTCAGTATCATTTCTTTTTTCTTATACGCAAACAAAATGAAAGAACAAAAGCCACAAATTTGGTATAATAGCATTGCTGAAGAATCTAACCTCTCTCTGTTTTTAAAATTGGTATACTTCATCACCTCCAGTTAGTTTTTAATGGAGACAAGGAAAAAGGGATAGTCTCCAGGAAGCAGGGATGGAAGTGATATGATTAAAATTAATTTCCAGATTAAACCTGATCTTGCATCTGTTTCATTGCATTATGCCATTTTATTGGGCATATTTACATTCTTCTTTCCTCTTATCTCTTGTCACAAGATATATTACTAAATGATGTTAGATGCATGTGCATAAAAGCTCTTACCTGGCAGGCATTATTCTGGTCACAGCTCTTCCAGTTTTGTAGCACTTTGAGCACCTACATAAGGGAGCTTAATTTGTTCAAGTTTACCTAATGAACACTAAGAACAGATGGTCATCACTAATTGATCTCATGGGTTTCATAGGACAAGAGATGGAACAAGAGTTACTATTTCAACAGCCAAGTTTGCTCTAAGTGTTTCCTAGAGACAACTTGAAAGCAGCTGATGACATCCACTTGTTCTATCCTACCTACGTTTCAATTTGCATGTTTGGCCCAGTGTCATGCATGTTGCTACTCCTAGCCAAATATGTTCAGTTGAGTGAATGGTTTATTTTTCTTTTGAATTAGGGCTTTGAAAAATGTATGCTTTGTTTTATGTACAAAACAAAAACATTGTCTGGAAGTTCAAACAAACTAATCTGGGCCAAAGCTCAGAACATTTTGGTTTCAGGTGTCAGCTAAGGTGCAAAGTTCAGGGGTCTTACAAGATAAGTTGAATGGGAAAAGCTTTTTTGCCTTTTTTTTTCATCTTTCTTCCTATCAGTCTCTTCCTGTTGGTCACATACACAACCAGCACAATCACCCTTCCCCAATCTTTTTATACCTTTCTTTCCTTTACCTCACTAGCCACTGCTGATGGCCTTATCCTTTCCCCACTGGTTTCCCATCCTAGAACGCCGTTGCCCAAAACACGCATGTTTTGAGTCCTTGCCTGGATGATACATGTTGTTTGTCGAGGCATGGACCATCCTAAAAGGTTTTTCCCATGCACAGAAAGTTTTGTACCTTCCTTCTTTGATCCTAATAAACCTGTTTTGCCAAGTTCTGAATAACTAGACTTAGTGATTCTGCTGAACTACTTGTATTGTTTCTTTATCCATATAGCTACCATAGAGCAGTAGTCCTTACATCTTTGTTATAATTTATGGCTTGGTTTGAACACATTATTATGTCAGGTATTCTGCATTTTTAAAAAGAAAAAAGATGCAATACGAAGCCAACTTTGGGATTTATTGAGTCCTCCTATATGTTTTCTGAACATTTCAAATGTTTATTTTACTAAGTGACAGCAAGCATCTTTCTGTCTAGAGATACTGACTGGAGAACAGTGTTGAATATTTTATCAGCTTGTTTTTAACTGAAAGCCCCCTGCCCCCGAGTTGTTTTGTATTTTTACAGCACATGAGAAACTCAAGAATGTGGCTGATGTTTAATGTGGTTCCGCTAAAATTGACTTGGATTATAATATGTATAGTTCTTGGTCAAGTTGGCCAACATGAATGTTTATGTCCTATGAAATTTTTGAAAATTAATGCATTCTGATTGTTGTTTTTAAACTAGATGATCTGCCACCTAAAGCGAGAGCCTGGAAGGATGTGAAGGTCCAGCCCAAAGATGAACCAGTGATTTTGAATGGCTCAGAAAGTACTGATGATAATGGAATTGTGAATTATGAATGGACACTTCTTTCTGGTGATTCCTCAGTGGTAATGGAGGTAAGGCATATCAACTGTCTACTACGATTCCTTTCTATAGCACTTTTAAAATCCCCACTTAAGCCACGGTAGCCATATGGGGTATAAGAAAAAATACATAAACTTCACATTGTTATTAAGACAACATAGAGATTATAAGATACTTGAAGTTTTTTTTTTAATTCCTTGGAATTAGCATGGCTATTTAGTAGAGAATGTGATACACTTGAGATGAGGACTTTTTACCTCTGATAATACATTCCATCCATCTAATAGGTAAAGCTATCTTTACTCCTCCAGATCGTTTTGGATCTTTCAGCAAAATCTTTCAGATTTGCTGAAATTCCCTGCCGGCTTCTCATATCATATAATTTTTTGCAACTTAACAAATATGATCTCTTTATAGACTGGCTAATTTAGCTGTTGTTGAGGTTCTTTGTAAACATCAATTTATCATCATGACTACTATGAGCTTGAACAATGGGTTATTTCTATCTTCAGTTCTGAAAAGATCAGCTTTAAAAAGTTGTAAACATGATTTAATGTAGCTATCAAATCTTCTAAATACAGATTCTTATTTCTGGGAATTCATGGATAGAACAGTATAATGTATGCAACATGAAGAGTTCTCATATCACTGACACACATCAAGACTAATACATGAATAAGTGCTCCCCATCAAAGCAGTGCTTTTGTCAGTTATGTATTTGTATCTTTCCCAGTTATGTAGGCAAGTATGTTACATAATTGGGAGAGATACAAAGTACAAAGATTGGATGAGGAATAAGATAGTTTTCTTTTTCTTTCTTTCTTTCTTTCTTTCTTTCTTTCTTTCTTTCTTTCTTTCTTTCTTTCTTTCTTTCTTTCTTTCTTTCTTCCTTCCTTCCTTCCTTCCTTCCTTCCTTCCTTCCTTCCTTCCTTCCTTCCTTCCCTTTTCCCTTTTCCCTTTTCCCTTTTCCCTTTTCCCTTTTCCCCTTTCTTTCTTTCACAAACATTTATTGCCTGCACAATTTCAGTACTGGAGGAAGTGCTTATCTAAACTGTAAATCAAAGGACATCAAAAATATATACACAAAAACATTAGAGTATAAGTTTAAAAAAACACCAGTCATTTTTAAATCTAACTATATACCTTGGACATCTTTTATATTTAGTTGCTGCATCTTACGAACAGTGTGTTTAATCAATGTAGGTGTGTTGAGGTTTGTTTAATAATAATAATGCTTTAATTTATTCTTCTAACTTGCATATTGTAAATGTGTCACTATTAAGAGTTCTCTTCCATTGTTTTGTAAGGTGCCTTGTACGGTATGGTAATAGAACTTGTTTTATAATTAAGACAATCCAGAGGAAAGAAAAAAATGATCACAGCTATTTGATAAGCTATGAAATAGCCCATTTCCTAAATGTTAGATAGTGGAGAAATGCCACTTTATTTAACTTGCGTTGGATTGTAAATTGTTTGCTAAGTGAGAGTTTGTAGCATTACTTGGTATAGAGAGAAATAACGTGAGAGTCATGAACCATTTGCACAACCTAAACAATTCTAAAGCATCTACATAATTCTGGGGATGTGCTACAAAGAATTCTGAATTTAGCAACTCCTTATATTTATACATGATGGGACTCTATAATATGATGACCAACCCTCAGAGTTGCATAGATAAATTCTGAAGTGAGGGAAACCAAGGTGATCTGTTTTTGCTTAGGTCACTTTTATTTCTGATTTTTTTTTTCTTGTACTTTCAGAAACAGAACGATATTATGAAGCTTTCAAATCTGAATGAAGGGATTTACATCTTCCAATTCACTGTAACAGATACTGCAGATCAGCAGCACTCCATCAACATCACTGTCACTGTACTTAATTCTGAACACACTGTAGGTAAGTCATTTGTAGGTGCACCTTTTAGCCTGGAATCAATTACAGATTGCCAAGGCCACACTCAGGAGTCATATATAGGTTACAAGTATGAAGACAAAAAAAGTGAGCTTTTATGAAGGATAGTAAACTTTTCCTTTTTTTTACGTTAATACTGTTCTTAGTTTTTCAATGTTTTAAGTAACACAAGAAAATAGCCCCAAAGCTATTCAGAGTTTTAACAATGTTATTGCTGATTTTTGGTGCCAATAGCATTTTGCTAAAAAATGATGCCATAGATTACCACCATTTGAGGTAGAAAATATGTAGACTCTACATTAATCCCTAAAATACAGTACATTTAATGCCATTTTTAAGAAGCCCAAAACATTCTGTTTCCCTAGAGTATGGAATTTGCAAGGGTTGGTAGATGTGAACAGAAAGTCTGTAGAGATTCTCAGTCATCCAGGTCATGGTTGCCCCAAAGGTGCTTTTTCAGGAGGCAACTGGACTTTCTTGTTTTTTCTTTTAAGACGTTTCACTTCTCATCCTAGAAGCTTCTTCAACTCTGACAGGATAGTGGGGAATAGAAGGATTTACATTCCTTGCAGACAGCTGGTAATTTGCATCCTTTTAAGGTCCTTGAAGCACTTGTAGGTTTATCTGTGTCTTCAGGGCCACCTGAATAGTGTTCCTGGTTCCTGTAGTCTGCAATTTTTCCTCTGGAAATCCATTCCTACTTCCACCCCATTCAACAAGTGTTCATCCCAAATTGTATAGCTAAAAGTCTGTAGAGATTCTCAGTCATCCAGGTCTTGAAATGGCATAGATTGGATTGTTATCTTAGGTCAGGAACCTTTATACACAAATAAAAATGCAATTACTTCTTAGAATGGTTAAAGTTCCTCCCATCATCACTTTATAAACATCAAAAAGCTCTTTCTTATTTTCCCCATGAAACCCATTGCTTCTTTTTTTATTTTATATTTGTATGAAGAATATGAATATAAATGTGGGTATTACAATATATATATATATAAAGAAAAATGGAGTATGAATATTTTACCCAATAAATAAGGCGTTATGGTTTAAAGCCAATGCTAGCCCTCCTCTACCAAATGGTAAGAAAGACCCAGAGCTTTTATTTGGGGACAGCTAGACATATTGATACACTATAGGCTTTTTAATATTGTGTTGTAAGATAATCTTAAGAGATCCTTGAGCACACTGACATCTCATATTTGCTATTCAAATATATTTAGTGATTCTGCTAGAAGCATACTTCTTGACAGTTGCCTGCTCCCCTCTTTTTTCCAACTGACAACACTGTAAAACCTGGGAAAATAGGCTAGATGTAATTTATGCCTTCTCTTACCCTTACTGTGAGAATACCTTATGCCACCAGACTTGAAATTCTAGACCTAGAAAACCTAGAACTACGCCGCCTTCGGTCCAATCTAAGTATGGTATATAAAATTATACATTGCAATGTCCTACCTATCAATGAATACTTCAACTTCAACCATAACAATACAAGAGCACGCAATAGATACAAACTCAAGGTAAACCTCACCAAACTTGATTGCAGGAAATATGACTTCAGCAATAGATTGGTCAATGTCTGGAATACTCTACCTGACTCTGTGGTTTCTTCCCCAAACCCCAAAAACTTTAACCTTAGACTGTCTACTATTGACCTCACCCCTTTCCTAAGAGGTCTGTAGGGGGCATGCATAAGCGCACCAATGTGCCTACCATCCCTGTCCTATTGTTTCTTTTTATTTTGTATCCATTTCATGTATTCATAACTATGTTTATACTTAGAATATCTTAGATGTTATCTTAGAATAGCTTGACAAAATAATTAAATAAATAAATTCAATTTCCTTGTTCTTCCTAGATCATTGCTTGGCTCCTTATAAAGTGGGACGTTGTCGAGGCTCCTTCCATCGCTGGTACTACAATCCGGAAATAGAGCAGTGTCAGGAGTTCATTTTTGGTGGCTGCAATCCCAACAAGAACAATTATGTAAGAAAAGAGGAATGTGATCTTGCCTGCAAGAATGTTCAAGGTTCGTATATTAGAAGACATTGCTTCTCTGTTTTAGAGATTTAAGTGGGGAAACCTAACCAATTCAGAATTATTTTGACACTACTCAATTTTATAACTTTCAATCAAGTTCGGCTGATTTGATTGGTTTCATTCTAATGTTTTAATCATGAATTATTGAGTAAATCATAGTGCCCCCAAATCACACATAACAAAAAAATCCCATGCTTTTCAAATACACGGTTATTAGGTTCAGTTTGTGAACTCAGTTTGCACATGCCTGAGTCAGAGTAACATTAAAAGAGAGACTTTGAATTGAACCTTTTCCAAACTGGAACTTTAAGGATTTGCTGGGCTAAACCCCACATAAATTCCAATTAGCAAGACTGGAGCACAGCTATTAACTATCACTCAACATCTGGAGGACATTATCTGCTTGAAGAAGGCTGAGCTAGACTATAAAATCAGGGGCACTTTGTCTTTATACCAGTACAGGGAAGCATATGATTGGCATGTGATTGAATGAAAAGTATTGCCTCCACTGCATTTCTATATGTTGGAGAAATAATTGGAAAGTGGCTTCTATGCATTAGATGTATGCTTCTAGTATGCTTCTATGCATACCAGAAAAGTATATAAAGTACGTGGTTTGTAGTTCCTGGGTTGGCAGTTCCCTAAGTCCGCATTTTTTTTAAAAAAAAAACTGAATTGGTAAGGGGGTTGGACTGATTTTTTTTTATTAGAACTAGTTGAAAAATTGAAAGGACAATATTCTCACCCTAATTTCCTTCTTTTCAGGTGCTGTAGAAAAACGTCAAGAACCAAGTAAGTTCTTCTGTACTTTTCCATGATAGCATTCAAATTTCTTTTGAACTTCCTTAGTGACATGAGATTTAGTGGTACAACTTTGGTTGATATCTTACTCTGTGCTTTTGTAGCATTGCAGTGAAACACTTGTAAATACTTTTTTATGAGTATTCCTCAATTTACAACCAGCAACATTTCTGTTGCTGAGACAGTTGTTAAGTGAGTTTTGTCCCATTTTATGGCCTTTCTCACCACAGTTTAAGTGAATCACTGCAGTTGTTAAGTTAGTATCACAATTGTTAAGTGAAGCTGGCTTCCCCTTAACTTTACTGGTTAGAAGGTCACAAAAGATTCAGTATGATCCCAGAGCATTCCAACCATCATAAAATATGAGTCAGTTGCCAAACAACAGTTATACGTGTGAAAAACAGTCATGGGTCACTTTTTTCATTGCTGTTGAAACGGTCACTAAATGAACTGTTGTAAGTCGAGGATTACCTGTACTGTATTTCTGCCGTGCTCAAGAAAGAAAAACATCTTTTTACCCAAATGTCACAAAGATTAATCATCTTTGCTGAGAACCCTTGAGAACTAACTCATATTTCTTACACAGCATGCAATGGAAACTGCCTACCTCTCCATTTCAAATGTGAAGATGGCTGCTGCATTGATAAAACTCTGGAATGCGATGAAACTCCAGATTGCCAAGATGGGTCAGATGAGAAATCTTGTGATTCATGTAAGTGGGTGACCCTTGAATTGTCTTAGAATAATAAAAATAGAGATGAATTGAAGGCCACCAAGTCCAAATCTGCTCATTACAAGACACTAAATGTGAGCATATCCCAAACATATGACTTATATTTTTCTGTTGAATTTTTGATGGGCATCTAAAGGCTATTGTGAAAATGGAGTTGGGGTGTTGGATAGGCCTTTGGTGTGATGTGACCTCTTAATTATCCTGGTAGAAGATAATATATACAGTGCACACATGTGCGCGTGCACACACACACACACACACACACACACACACACACACAAACACAAAATTTGAAATGTTTTAAGTTGAAGAGAAACTGTTCTGACCTTGTAAGTAAGGCTCAGGTTTGAGATTGAAATAGGATTGTTTTTAGCTCAAAGCAATTCCGGTAAGGTTGGAGAACTTCCTAAGAGGTCAGAATAACTTATTTTGAATTTAAAACAGCTGTTTTTAATGTGCATTTAATTGTACTCCACTGTCATGCACAGCTTTCTGTCCTAAGAAAGAAAAATGTAATCTATTTATTATGCAAAACAAAACAGCAAATTAACATTAACAACAAAATAAAATAGAATATTTGCATCATTTATTTTTATTATAAAACTTCTCTTTTCTTACATGATCCTTGGATAGGATCAATTTTAAATATTGTTTTAATATTGTTTTAACATTTAGTGTTAAATATACCTAGTTCTGTCTAAAGCAGATTAGTAAATGAGGTAAAGAAATAGAGGCAGAGTGGAATTAACAAAATGACCAGACAAAAATGATTTTAAAATATGTAACATAGTTTATGACATACTTCATAATAATTATTTCCATTTTCAAATAAAATGCATGTCTTTAATTATTCTGCTGCCTGCTCTTTGTATCTTTCAGATATTCAAGGATTCGATAAGTTACAGAAAATCAATATTAGTGCCAAAGGTAAGTATGTTATAAAATACATGATGACAGTTGAAAGAAATTTTAACACATTTTAAAAATCTATGTTTGCATCTCTCCAAATATAATTGAAGAAGATGACTGTATTCATGTAGAATTTGAACTGGATTCTGTTAAGAAATTAACTACTCTGGACATAATTTGAGTGTAATCTTGAATAACTTTTATTATTGGGAAATTTGTCACATCAACAGATATGCTCAGTTGGCTATTGTCCAACTGTCAAGTGTTTTAAAGCACGGGTCGCCAACCTTTTGGACCTCAGGGACCACCAAACTCATAATTTTACATCCCAGGGACCACTAACTGGTTCTGTGGATGTGACCTAATTTGTGGGTGTGACTGGGTGGGCATGGCTTGTATGTAAATATTATAAATATTTATATAAATATTGAATTTTTTATAAAAATAGAGCAACTTTTACTCAAAATCAGGCAAAGCAGGCAGGCAGATTGAGTTGCTCACAGAATCACAGATTCATTCAGAGGTCTATCTATCTGCCATCAGCTAGCTCAGTCTGTCACATAAAATTTGCTTGCAAGCAAACTCATAAAATTCACTCACAACACACCATGTATGTAAATATTGATTTTTTTTATAAAAAAGAGCAACTTTTACCCAAAATTAGGCAAAGCAGGCAGATTTTGAGCTGCTCACAAAATCATTCAGTGATCTATCTATCTGCCATCGGCTAGCTCAGTCTCTCAAATTTGCTTTCCGTGAGTGTACTGAATTTGCTTGCAAGCAAACCTTCAGTCCTAAGGGAGGTTCGGCTGTGCTTAAAAGCAGAGCCGAAGACCTAAAGACTAGCTAGAAAGCAAGAAATCCAACCATTTCCTGCTTCCTAGCTAATCTAAATCTTCCGGCACAGCAGAACAGATGATGGTCGGAAAAAGGAAAAATCAAAATTTAGCAGACAAGTTTAGTGGGTAAGGAGTGAGTGGGCAGGGAGGGTTCCCGTGAGCCATGTGGGTGACACAGCCTTGTGTTTCTGCACAGCCTGGATTAATTGCTTTGTGGGGGGTGCTCTGGGGGTGAGATTTCTCTGCGGCCCACCAAAATTTTCTCACGGCCCACCGGTTGGCGACCGCTGTTTTAAAGCATCATGTTTCTTTACACACAGATCTGCTTTAAGTAGCACAATTTGATAGTTAAAATAGTTAAAGACAAAAAAAAAATGTGGAACTGTAAAGTCAAATATAGTATAAATGTGGACATGTAGTAAATTTGCTTGTGGCAGTCTTGTGTAATGAGGGTGAAGGTTCGTTTCTTGCCTGGTAACTAAACATTTAGAAACCAACCCTCAAGCTCGGAGAATGAACCTTGACCTCCATCCTACACCCTAGCTACAGATATTCGCCACTATTGCAAAGTTTTATGTACTACAAGCTGTAATAAAGTAGAACTTGTTCCAAAAAAATAACAATAGCAATTCATTGTTACTGTTAAGCTTATACTCATTTTAGTTGGCTTTGTTAGTTGTAATCAGGATGCATCCTAGCCAAGACTTCAGATAGTCAGTGTGAAGCCTCAAGTGCAAATCTGGCGTTAGAGAGGTCCTTCATGCATCTGGAAAGGACTTGGTAGCCCTGAGATCTCCCCTAGCCTCCTTTCTAGTTCATAAGCCCCAAAGGTCACCTGGGGCACATGATACTTGCCAGAGGAGCCAGTGCAGGGCACATTTACATAAGCACAGTGAATGAAATCATCATTTTGTAATAGCGTTAATCATTGTTATTATAATTTTTGAAATATTTGGTAAGTTTTCTAAAAAGATAGAACATTGCCTGAATGTTTGTTAACTGGCCTTCATCCTGTAATGTTAGGATGAGCTAACAGTTGCAAAAGAACAATAACCATTATAACAGTGGTGCAAGGTAAAGTAGTTTTCTAAACTGTAAATTTTAGAATCATCAGGGGTCAAGCAGCATGTAAATTTAATATGTTTATTATCGTTACTACTTGTATTATAATTAATACAGATAGACTTTGACTTATGGTGGCAATTGGGACTGGAACTTGTTGCTAAGCAGTGCATTGTAAAATGCAACTGCATTGCTTAGCAGCAGCGATTCCTGCATTCCTGGTTGCCATCATTAACCGAATCCCATGGTCATTGTTAAGGCAAGGGAATTTACTGCTGGCTTACTACAACCAAAGTCCATGGGGAAGCCAGCAGGCAGGTAAATGACTAGTATCAGGTGAGGGAAAGCATGAATATAGGAGTTTGGAGTTGGTGTGCAAGGATGTGCAAGAGACCTGAATCTGGAAGGATGCAAAGATGTGTGCAAGAGGCATTGATCGGGAAGGGTATAAGGGTATGTGTGACAAGTGTCACATGTCAAGATGGCTATGCAGGGGTGCACTATTGGTCGGCATGGTCCAAAGGCAGAGGGGTTAGAGCAGGGGTCTTCACACACGACAGCTTTAAGACTTGTGGGCTTCAACTCCCAGAATTCCTCCTCCAGTCATGTTAGCTCAGAAATTCTGGGAGTTGAAGTCCACAAGTCTTAAACTTGCTAAGTTTGAAGACCCTTGGGTTAGAGGATGGTGCCCGGTGGGGGGGACTCTCCCCAGTGACTTGCTACCTACCCTGCCAGCTTTCCCATTGACCCTCTGGTGAAGCCTGCAGAGAAGGTTACAAATGATATTCATGTGATTGCAGGGTCAAAAGCAATGGGTCAAAAGTGTGAACCTGTTGTCGGGCAGTCAAATCTCAGTTCACCTGACTGGGACAATCAGAACTCCAAGAACTGGTCCTAGCTACCATTTGTTCAGCACCATTGTAACTTTGAAAGGTCGCTGAACAATTGGTTATAGGTCAAGGATTATCTGTAATACATTTTAAGTTTTAAAAAAGCTACTGTGCTACACAGGTAGTAGGCCAATTCTCTGAGCGCTAATGGTTTTATCAAATACTTAATCATGATAGGTCAATAGAATTGGGAATACAGTTAATTAAGAGCTAACAATATTCCTTGTTCCTTTCTGGTAGGTTATTGTGTGGATATGCCTGATACTGGACCTTGTGAAGAAAGTATACCTCGCTGGTACTACAACCCTTTGACTGAGATGTGTGGTCGCTTCACCTATGGAGGCTGTGAAGGCAACAAAAATAATTTCGAGCAGGAAGAAACATGTATGAAATCATGTAGAGGCATCACAAGTAAGAAGAAAATCTTAAAAGAGGGTTTTTTATCATTGTAATGAGACTTCTACAGCACACAGTAGTATTGTTGCTAGAGGCTGATGTTTTGCTTTGCACTATGCTAGTTTTTATTTAATTACGTTAATTTAAAAAAATATTTTAAAAAATCAAGTGGGCCAGGATCCTGGTAGACATCAGAGAAATGACATCTCTGTTTTGACTTTCCATCTTATCTTATCTTATCGTATCTTATGATCCTGCCAGGCCTGGGGTTTGCAGGGGACCAGAGATCTGTCTTGTTGGCTTGACTGCTAAAGATGCCATTTTTATCCACCTAGGATTTTTGTCTTTATGCTATTTATTACAGTGACCATTTAGATTTTATCATTTTTATATTGGCTCTTTTATTTATTGTTGTCTGCTGTCTAGAACAGGGATCTCCAACCTTGGCAACTTTAAGACTTGTGGACTTCAACTCCCAGAATTCCTCAGCCAGCTTTGCTTTGGACTTCAATTCTGGGAGTTAAAGTCCACAAGTCTTAAAGTTGCCAAGATTGGAGAACCCTGGTCTAGAATACCCTTTGGGGGAGATAGGCGGCTATATGAGTTTGATTATTATGAGAGCCAGTTTGGTCTAGTCGCGAAGGTACCGGCTAGAAAGTTGAACACTATTGAGTTCAAGTCCTTCCTTAGCCATGAGAGTCAGCTGAGTGATGTTGGGCCAATCACACACTCTCAGCCCAACTCACCTCACATGGTGGTCTTTGTGGGGAAAATAGGAGGAGGAAGGTACATTGGATGTGTTCGCTGCCTTGAGTTACCTAGAATAATAATAAAGGCGGGATATAAATACTAAGTAACTAATAAATAACCTCTGGGCACAATCCTTGGGTCTCACCCTGCCCTCCTGTGGATGGTTACTTAATAGTAACTTAACTATTAAGTAACTCCTAGTAACTTAATATTATAAGTACTGTGTTGTCTCCATTATTCTGAACATTGTTACATAATCCTGTATTTTCTTTTAATATAGAGCAACATATGATTGATCAGAGGTGGAGAGGATATGACTATCAACATGCTAGTTTAAGTATGTAACAACATTCCAAATAACTCTGAGTTCCTGTTTTCTGCTTGTTATGGTTTTTATTTTTAACAGCAACTTGCCTGGCATTTTTGGGTGGGAGGAAAGAAGTATGACTGTTTCTAAATAAAATGGTTTATTTTACTGATAACAAAGCACATATTACAAAAGAATAAAAAAATCATAGAAAATGGGAAAATAAGTTGTTACCCAACTTGCACTTTTGCTCCCACAAAAATACTGGCTCAAGAATTCTTTCTAACCTTCCCTACCACAAGAACATTTTGTTTTGTTTTGTTTTTGTGGGGTATGGTATAATTTAGATATCAGAACTCAGCAACTTTTAGAACCTGAATTAAGACCAGCATTTCAAAGAATAATTTCCCTTTCCACCCCCAGTTTGTTTGTATATATCACGTCAGCAGGTATGCACACCTAAGAATGTTACATTATAATTATAGTTTTCTTAAGGTGACCTAGAGCTGGATTTAGGCTGATACTGTACTGTCATTTTTTTTTATGGAAGAGTCCTACAAACAGTGCTTACTTTGTTTCTGAATGGATTGGGAAGTAAAGCAAAAACATATCTTAAAATTTTTGCAAAACAAATCATTCTGACAATTTCAGTATAATCATGATTTCTCTATCCATCTTCCACTCCTGCTCCATCTCTCACAGGTGCTTTTGAAGTGGCCGTTGCTGTGCTCCTCTGTGTCTGCATCATGATAGTGTTGGTAGTCCTTGGCTACTTCTTCCTCAAGAACCGAAAAAAGTACCGAAGACGTCGTCAGCCCCCTACTGCGGCTAATTCCACACTTTCTTCTGTCTTATCGACTGCTGAAGACACAGAACACCTGGTGTACAACAGCACCACAAAGCCCATCTGATTCTGTAGAGTTATCCTCCGTTTCTGGGAAGGACAGTCTTACCAACTGCTCATAATGCTTGTTATGGGGTGGGGAGAGTGGTGAGGGGATCTACTGAAGGATTTTTCCTTCCTTTTTTCAAAGTTTCCTTAGACTATCCACTAGCTGCTTACAAGCTCTACCTGTCCTGATCCTGTGATAGTTTCTAAGAGTGAGCAGAAAATTAGCCCGCTCTGACAATACATGGATGGCGTTTTGAGTTCCATGTTTCCCCAAGTTCTATAATGAAGGTTATTTTAAGTTTAAGGACTTACTATATCTATTGAAGGAAACTTAGTTTAATCTGGTGAATGCGATTATTCTTCTCACAAAACTCAATGAATGTATGTGTGTGTGTTTGTGTGTGTGAGAGAGAGAAAACACATTTCTTACTCCTATTCCTTTCTGTTTAAAACCTATGCTGCCTTAAAGCCACCCTCCGTGTGTTTTAACTGGTACAAAAAGTGATACAGTTTTTAAACTTGTATTTTGATGGAATACTTTGATGGACTAATTAAGTGAAAGTGGTGTCCTTTTCACAAATCTATTAATGTCTGTACTAAGGCCTGTGCTCCTCTTATATATGCCAAGTATCTAGATTATTGCTGAATGGAAAACAGACAACATTGTGATTTGATCTGAATGCATATAAAAGAAAACAGAAATGAGGTCATGGCCGAAAATCTGGCCCTGCCTTTCTTTTCTGGATTTCCCTTCTGTTCTTACCTTCTAGTTATCATTTCTAGTTTAATCTTACTGTTTTGAGTTCTTCTTCCATATCTATTTATTTTTACAACCAAATTGTGACAGAAAAGAAGACATTCCTCATTTTCTAATTTGTCTTCAACTATACAATCTCATTAAGTAGTTAAATAATGTACTTACATAGGGGCAGTTTCAAAATTGACTTTTCTTCAGAGCTAATTTTCACAAGATCCTTGGACAAAAGGAGAGTCATGAAAGCTGACAGACTCTGCTTCTTGCACAGCTATGCTTAAATATAGAGAAAGTAGCAGGTGTTGCCCAGATATAGAATACAGGTTTGTCCCAATTTTCCACAAATATGTTACATGAAATATGTAGGTTGATGCCTGTGATGTTTTTTTCATTTACCTTCCTGTTTGTTTGAGGTGAGGTATTTTAATCCCATTCCTCTTCCCACTTTGACCTACACCCCAGTTTGGAAATTGATGTCTTACATTTTTTGGCACCTGATAATTTACAGTTATGCCTGAGTACTGGTTCATTTTATGGGTAGAGATGCTTGGAATAAATTCTCCCATCTCTTTTCAAAAATGTAGTTCAAAAAATAGTTGATCAGGCTATACCTCTTGATTTCTGATCATTTGAAGATGCATAGAAAACTCCTCTGAACTTATGTATGGAAGGGGGGCTCTTTCGATAAGGGCTTATCCTTTGGGGTCACTATGGGGTTCACTCCCATCATCCGTCAAGCTTACATGTGACTTGAAACGTTCCTGAGAGCACTGAATCTTCCGAGGAGCTAACGGGAAATATTTCACAGTGGTGGAATATATGAAAGATTGACCTGTAGTTGGCTTGTATTACAGTGGATTGTCCAGCTCTTGCCTGACCTTCTTGAGAATCCAATAGCAAAGCTGAATATTACTTTTAAATCCAAATCTTGCTTTTGAATTTGAACCATCTTTTGCTCTGTTTATTTAGCACGGGTGGTTAGCGTGTGAAATCCACTCTGTTTGACATTGTACATAATTTTGGACACACTCTATGATACAAATGAGAGATGATGTTTTGTTTATTCTTTTTTTAGTAGATGTTATGAGATTTTGTTTTATTGATGTACTGTATATAAGGATTCTTTCTTGGATGTAAACCTCTACTGGCTAAACTGAAGAGTCATCAGCAAAGTGAACAGGAGAAATGATTATTAGGGAATTATCTGAAGGAAAGACAGCTGTTTATTGCTCCAAGGGCCAAATCACCTCAAGTATGGAACTGGCTGAGCATCTATGAGAAATTGCAAAATGGGGTGGGAAAGAAAATGATAGACCTGGTCATTGTGCCTTACAGAGAAGAGACGAGAGATTACTCATAGTGCTTTGCAGTTGGCTTGATTATTCCATGTTGCTACAGCTGTCAACTCTTACCTTTTCCCTCTCTTTCTGTACCTCTTCACTGCTTTCTGAGCCCTCAAATTCTGAATCTCCTTTCTGACAGTGAAATTTTTAATAAAATATTTTCTTTACAACTTGCTTGCCTGATCAGGTTTTTTTTCTCAGTCCCAGGGTATTTCTTGCCAGCTTGAGAAAGGCTTAGGATCTTGCTGATATCGTGCTCAAAGAAAGGAAGAAGCTCCAGACTTACCATAATTCAAAAAACAAGCCTTTAGTAACTATGATTCAATGGCATATCAGATACATCAATAGGTTGAAATTAGGCTTGAGAGACTGAGTTGGAGAGCATTTCCTGTACATTGAGACAAAATACTGAAGAAGGGAAGGGCACACATGATTTCAGCTGGTTGGAGTAGTTTGGAATTAGCATAAGAAGCAGAAAGCATTCGCTACTAATGAAATGGCTGTCCATAGATAGTTATAATACAAATTATATTAATCAATGACTAGTGGGTAAAAATTGACTCATTTTACTTCCATCATAAATATCTGTTAGTATTTTTTGATTATTGTACTTTTTGAGGAATTAACCATGGCTTTGGGGCCTTGATGTTATATTATAAACATGTACGTTTAGTGCAATCTTATTTGGAACTACTGAGAAGTAAGCACCATTTAATATAGCTTATTGTGATAATAAGAACCTGGTTGATTAAAACAAAATTTTTATTTGGTCTATTCTTCTATTGTTGCAATGGCTAGTCAGATATCCTTGAGAAACTACCAAAAAAAAGAAAGAAAGAATAGGGAACCGTAGTTTACTCAACTAGTATAAAGCTGAATTTGAATAGGATTGCAGTTTAAAAATATTCAGCTACAGTGACATATTAATAGTAAAATAAAAGACTTCACATATTGTGTTGAACAACTAGTGGAAATGCCCAGAGAATTGAAGAATTCAGACTCTTGATTATTACAACATTTAAGCCATAATATATTTGGCTTGGTTTTGGCTTTTGAGAAGGAGTGGTGGTTTAAGTCAGTCTTGACTTCTGGCTATAGCCTGGTCAAGTCCCTGCAGTTTTCTTGGCAAGATTTCAGAAGTGGTTTGCCATTGCCTGTTTTCTAGGGCTGAGAGAAAGTGATAGACATTATACCTAAGGAAGGACTATAACTCATGGTCTTCCGGTTTCTTGTTTAATGCCTTGACCTCTTTAACCAATTTTAGTAAACCATAGCTAATAAAATATACTTCGAGTTGTGCACATACAGTATATTGGTCACAGTATATTAGTAGCAATAATTTGCTATATCAATTTAAGTCTGGGTTCACCCATAATTATAGATACTATTGGTAAAGCACACTGGATGCCTTCATATATCAATAAGCTGAAATCAAGCAAATTACATTGCAATTTACTGTGATGTGTGAGTGCAATCAATATCATACTAGAGCTGTTGTGCATATTCTTTTTCCCAAAAAGTTTTTTATTTTTTTATTTTTACACATCACGTGAACAACATGATTCCAGATTATAACACTTGTACATGGTCATACTTTCATTTCCATCAATCTTATATAATGTCACCTCATATCATTATCCATTTCATTCATCTTTAAATAAATTTCCATTTCATATTTCAATTCATTAATTCAATATCAATATCATTTCATCCACACATAAATTTTCAGTTCTTTATCCCCTATTCCATTTTCAGCTTACTACCTATTTTATTTTACATTACACATCATTATTATCCTTAATTTTCTCTAGGCTGATATATAATAAACAATCTAAAAAGAGTAAAAATAAAATAAGGCCAATATATTTAGGATCCACATGGTATATCCCCTCAATCTAATATAATAATTTTTCATTCCCCTACTTTAATCATAATAAGATACTCTCATTATACACTTCTAGTATCCATTAAATAATCAACTGTATATTTTAAAATGTATATATTTTAAAGCATTCCCCAATAAAAATAGCTAAAATAACTTTTTAATATGTCTTGTTTTATCTTCACTTTTCTTATAATCATTAATAATCATGTTTTTTCTTCCTTTCCACTTAGCCAAAGTTTTTATGTTTTAATACATTTCCGTTCCCCTATTTTTAATCCTCAAAAGAAAGGGTTCATAACATCATAATTCATATACAATTACATATATATATAGTTATACAATCCTAAAATATTTCCCAGCAAGTTTAAAACTAAATACCAATATACATTCCCATGTGGTATCCCCCTTATACTATCCCTAAGCCTTATCTCTAAATCTCTCGGCTTTAAAGTTTCTTTTAATTTTAGCCAGCTTTCCCTTTTCTAAGTTTCCACGGTCTTCTTTTTTTCTTCTAGTATTATTTTTATTTCCCTCTGCTTGTTAGCCATGTTTTCCCCCACCCTTTTCTCTTTTTGGGGGTTTCTTATATAATTCCTTCTTCTGCTTAGTCTTGGGAGCATTATCTCTTTTATTTGTTGTCAATGTCTCTATTTTAAGTCCTTTTATGTCCTTTGGCAATGGTCCTTGTTCTCCATATTCATCTAGGCTGTTGTTTTCCTCCTTTAACTCGTCCTCTCTGGGCTTTCTTTGTTCTTCTGTGAGCTGCAACACCATTACTTTACTAACCATTATATCCAGCAGTCTCATTCTTTCTTTTAACATACCTCTCACAGTTTGCAGCTCTGACTTACATTCTTTGCTTATTTCTTCCATTTCTTTAATCTATTGAGTTATTCTTTGTTTTATTAAAGATCAAATTTTCCTGTTACAGTCCTTGCCAAAAGTCTCCGTTTATCTCACTTTCTCTTTCTTCTGTTTTCTTGTCACAGTCAACCTCCAACAGTCCCAAATTATTGCGTTCCTTTATATTTTACTGTAGTTGTGCTGTCCCAGTCAGTCTATGGGAATTGGATAGTTACTTAGGAATTATGAGCTGTCCCCTTAAAGGAAGGTATCATGGTAAATGTAGTTAAAGGTACCCTGGGAATTGTAGTCCAGGTCAGGTGGCCACATCTGTCATCCTGATTGGTCACTAATTTGACCCTTGAGAGGTTGGGGGAGGTTTTCCTCACTTTTGCCTGAACTCTCTAACTCATGGCAGCTTCTTTTTATCGCTACGAGATGGGTTAGGAGATAACCATCTTTTACTACAAAACAGATATACAAAGGATTTGTCATTAAAGATCTTAGTCACAAACGTGAGTTATGAGGATACCTGATGAACCAATAAATGTAATTGGTTATGGACGTCTTGTTGAGTTATCTATCTGCATCTGTACAGCTTCAAATCCACCTCTGTGCAGAAGGCAGAAAAGTAGTCTACACTTTTTAAAAAACTTCCAGAGTTCTTGTTGTATTAATAATCTTTTATTCCATTTCTTCTTTCTTTCAAATATTTATACAACCAGTAATTTTCCATAGAAACATAAGAGAGGGAAATCTTTAACCATTAGGTGGTGCTCTATATTACTTTCTTTTCAAAGTTCTTTTATTTTTAATTCTCTTTTACGTAGTATTAACTTTAAATATTATCCATTCGAAATAAGTCCAGCATTTAGTCCAATGCCTAATTAGTGTCCAATTTTGTATGTTATTCCAAATTTAATCTCTGATTTCATATAATTCTTTTATTTCCGTTTTGTTCTTTACCTTATATTTTCCTCTTATTTCCCATTCACTGCTACCACTCTTCCAAATGAGGGCTCTTTCTTTCTGCTTTTCGGAGTTATCAAAAAAATATTCAAAGTCTTTTATCTGGTTACATGCCGCTCCCCACTTCCACTCTCCAGCACAAACTTAAGTCCCGGCAGCTTCCCGTTTTCAGGGCAGCCATTAAACTGCCACTTCTCCCTGTCTTCTAGGGGAGTGAATACCAAGCCAGGGAGGGGAGATGCAGCTCCCCTCGACCCAGATGGCAGTCTTCCCCTCTTTCCCCCACCCCTACAAGGTGGGTCAGATGGTTCCAGTCCCTCAGGGACCCTTCCAACAGGGCAAGCACGGGTCAAAGCCATGCACGATCGCAGTTTCTGTTCCATAGTCAATGGAAACGCCACCGGAAGTCCTGTTGTGCATATTTCTGTCTTCCTTGCCATTCTGGTGTATGTTTTTCTATAGCTTGGTCTTTGAACTTTCAATCTGTATGCTCATTGAGAAGTATGGGTATTATGCATCTTTGACCATAAAATGTTAATGACACTTGGTTCTCAATAGCTTGTCAATGTGACTTGACCGAAAGAAAGAAATGAACAAATATTAGAACAATTTTGAGGGATAGTCTCCGTAGATTATGGTCTTCAGTGCCCAGCAGTATGCTAGAGCAGAAAATTACATATCTAAAAATAATAATCTGGTGGCTCATTTATGTAGATGGGGGCTTGCAAGTTAGTTCCCAGTCTATTGTTTGCAGCATGGAAATGGTAAGATTCAATAGGGTAGCCATGCAAAAGCTTTTCTTTCCCAATTAATCTAAATGGTAGCCGAGGGTTTAATTCTTATACCCAGGATCTTTGGGAAAAGGGGAGTGTAAAGGGGCAGTAGCCTTGGGCCCCACACAAAGAAGGGACTTACGCAGGGTATAATCCAATACTTTAAATGTTGAAAATCACAAAATATGGCTTACTAGCAGTCAGTTGTAGTTTAGTCAATAAACAATGGCTTATTGTGATATGCAAACATAGTAAAAGACAACGGCCAATCCTATTTTCCTATTCCTTTCCAATTCAACAAGAGTGTAATTGTGGCAAGACCATAAGTGGGTAAAATATTGCTAGTATAATATTGCTACATTTTGTAGACTAGAATGGAAAGGTGACGGCAAACAATTTCGTTATTGTGACGAAGAAACTCCATGAGTGTATCCACATCATCATCTGGAGGAGCTGAGTCTGAGGAAGGGCTTCCCTTCCTTCTATGAAGGCTTGTTGTTGGAGATTACAGATTCTGCCTAATAACAATCTTGTAGAGTTCTGAAAGAATGGGAACCGACACAAAATTACTGAGAAATAAAAGAAAAATATTTCTATGCTTGAAAGAATCCAGTGCCGCCCACTCAGACCACAGAAGTTGAAAGCAGAGCATTTGAGAAAGCAAATTTAATGAGACAATAAACACAACATTCTCCAAATA